TTTTATTAATTCATTTTTAGGATGCCAAAACCCATCAGTAATCCTAGATATACAAGTCTGTGGTTTAATCAAAATACCCCAATACCAGAGGTGGTGTATTAGGACACTTAAGGCCAAAGTTTCAGGTACCTTCAAGCACTCAAGTGTGCATTACTGCCTTTCTAAAAAATAATTCCTAACTACTGATGGCAATATGAAAAAAATACTATAAAAACTTAATAGCATTGTTACCAACTGCTTCTACTCCCAGCAAAAAAGATACTTCTCATTCTTCAAATGCACTGCTGAAATTCTGTAATGTACTTTGAGTTCCTATTGACCAGCTGATAGAAGGACTGAACTCGTGGCTCCTTCAAAACTGTGATTTGTAAACTCTTACAAGTACAACCACTGATTTTACTTCCTTAAGACATGCTATAAGCAGCTATTACATCACACTTATTTTCAATGTCCTAGATGTGCTGTAGTAGTCCTCATCAGATAAAACAAAAATTTGTACTGCACTATGGTGAAATCTACCCTTGTCAGGTGGAAGAGGTTTACTGTTATAGGTTTACCGTCTATTTCTGGTCAACATGAGAGAAATATATGTAATGCATACTGTACTTTAAAATCCAATTCTCCAATTTCATTACTATTTATTGGCCCAATCTGGTTTCCAATGAACCCAGTGGGAGTTCTGACAAAGACTTCAACTGGAGCCAATTCAGAAGCTGTATTTAATAAAAAATGTCAAACTGTAGGTCTTTCAAAGGTAATTACAACAGGTTTTACTTAAAGCTATGCAAACTCAAGTAGTTTAACTGGTTTCTGAACACTTTATGTCATGCTTCAGAATGCTTAGATTGAGCGAAGCGCTATTTATTGTTGAGTGTAAAGTTGCTACTAATTTTTCCCCCCATTTTGTTCATCTAGCAAAGTGACATGCAGTCTGTGTATATGCAAATCTGTTAGGCCTAGGAACAAAAACCACATTGCTCCCACTAATAGTGCCTCCTGACTGAAAAGACATTTACATTATGATTGAAAGTTTCAGAGAAGTGTAATCAAAACAAAGTTACAGTGACTAAGACAGTCAACTAATCAACAGTAATTAAACATTACATGGTGTTCATCTTTGTACCAATCTTTATTATTGAAACAAATATGCCACTTTGTTTACCAAACTGTCAAAGCTTCCCTTTTCCCAGATTCTTAAGGTTCGTATTCTGCAGGAGATTGACAAATTTTATTTCAGTTCCCCACTTCCAGGAACAGGTAGGACTGTAACATTAAAATTTTAATTATATCATGTTCAAATATTAATTGTACTGAAGTCAGAGGCCATGAACCTTGTAATTTTAGATGCTTAACAGGAACAGTGACAAAAATTAGACATTTCAATTATTTTTTCAAGAGTAAATGGGTTTGTGGTATTTAGTTTTTGTCTTAAGCGTCATTGTTTGCATTACCGCTGAGAAATTGGGAAAGGTTTTCTTTCATCTTTACTAATTGTGCCCTTTACCATTGGGACACCAATTTCCCTGGCCTTTTACTGGAATTTGAAACTAGCCAGGATTTTTGTTTACTTCCTTGTTTCTGCACCAGCACTTAAACTGCTCTGGGAATAAGGTTGCTGAGTTAACTACTGCAATTGGTTGCACACACACGTGTTCAGATCCTACAAAAACAGTGACCATTAACAGCAAAAACAACAAACAAAAAAACCCCACACGTATATTCAGAAGATTATCCCATAGCACCCGAAAGCTTAATTCCAGAAGACATTCATATTCAAGTGTAACAGTTTAAATACAGGTAAACTTCCAGGCCTTAACTACTGGAATACCACCTTGGTGTAAAAGTTCACAGCAGTATTTTTTATTTTTATGAAATGAATATCATACATCTACAAATACTCTTCATAACAATTAAAATTTAGGATTAGTCTCCAGCCTCTTAATTAGGTTGAGAAATATTTAAAAATTGAAATGAAGGAGGGGACAAGCAGGTTTCAGATTTGCTTAAGCATATTTGCCACTGGACAATCTTTAAAACTATAATTTTATCACAAGCCAGGCATATTGCTGGCAATTTACTACTGTATATATATATTTTTTAAGTCTGAGTAATCACCTTGGCCATAGGTGGGAAGATATGAAACTTGCACCACTCACTTTTAATTTTAAAATATATTTTAATTTCAAATACATAACTTGCTAATTAATATATTTAGCTCACCTGGACTCAAAGTAATTTTATTTTTATTTAAATCTTTGCAGATAACGTTCAATGTGTCAGTTTAAATACATAGTGAAATTCAAGGACATGGCTTCAATGAATAACATTAGTCATCAACATTTCATAGTAATTACTTGGTATAAGCAATTGATGTCTGCTTTGGATTTGCCTATGCACTGCTGCAAAAGAACTGCTAAACTTAGAAAGGTACGACTACGCTATACATTTTTTTTAAGGCTTAACTTCCACAAAAGTGGGCTTTTAAATATTTCAGAAATGATACAGATCATAAGCCATTCAACAGTATTTAGCAGAAAGTAGACCTTGTTCAACAGCCTACTGGTGACATTATCAATTTTGCCTGCTCTTACAGTTTTAAAAGTTATCCTCACATCTCTCAAAGAAATCACAATCTATTTAGGTCAAGTCTACACTACCCGCCGGATTGGCGGGTAGTAATCGATCTATCGGGGATCGATTTATCGCGTTGCATCTAGACGCGATAAATCGATCCCCGAATCTACACCCGCACTCCACCTCGGCAGGAGAAGTAAGCGGAGTCGACGGGGGAGCCGTGGCGGTCGACTTGCTACCGGGAGGATGGCCAGGTAAGTCGAACTAAGATACTTCGACTTCAGCTACGCAAATAACGTAGCTGAAGTTGCGTATCTTAGATCAATCCCCCCCAGCGTAGACCAGTCCTTAGTGTAAAATGTTGTTCTACAATTTCTGATAATGGCTGCAAGTGCACTACCCTGTTTACAATGCTCAACTTAAGGACATTCTGTAATCAGGAAATATTACTTTAACCAATTTACAAAGCTTAAAAGTTAATGTTAAAAGTATGCAGTCCAAATAATCATGCAATCATTTGATGCAATCAATTTCAAACAAATATTAATTTACTTAACTCTACCTATGCTCACGAGACAATTTAACCTTATGTAAAAATTTCCCTTTGTTCACTAAGCAAAATGTTTTGATGTGTGTAAAATTACCCTGAACAGAAGTTAATTCTTATGGGGGCAGAAAATGTTATGTAGCAAAATTACAGACTTAAAAGGATTAAAGCAAAATACAATTCAAGACCCACACTGATAAGGTAACAGGAGAAGCACACAGTAAATGTAATGTGTTTTGCTTCTTATGACCTTAGGTATTTAGTGGAAATTTGCTACCAGATTAAGTTGCTCAAATTAATTTTAAGTCTGTTTGCAGTACATCATATATAAATTTAAAGACTTGTTTAAAATTAAATACATAGATTCTTTTAAAAATATTAACAAATATCCTTAGATAAAAATATTTTAAAATAATATTTAAAAGCCAGTCATAAAAGGAAGAAAAAATAGATTAGCCATACGACAGACAGGGTTATTACAATAGAAAAAAAAAAAAGCAAAAATAGAAGTTACAGTTGTTAGAGGTCAAACAAGTCATCCAACTGTATTTATGGATTATACAGCACTACACACACAGCCCCTTAACAAACCCTTTCAGAATTATAGCATTTCCTAGAAAGCACAGGTTTAAGATAGTATGATTTTTATAGGTGAACTGCTTAAACTACATAAAAAACGTTAAATAGCTAAGCCACACTCTCAGTCTCCAAAATAAAGTTAAAAACCTCCGCGGTATCAAGATTCTGTCAGTGACAGCATGCTTTCTATGAAACACATCCCTAAAACATTTCACAACTACTCTTCCAGAAATAATGAAAAACAACCTTTTCATATATTTTAGTGAAGATACGCTATGTTTTTGAAATATTTTGGATGCACAGACTGTGACAAACGCCTCACTTTTCACACATAACTCCTCAAAGGATGGAATGTATATTTGTAGTTCAATGCACCCTTAAAAATACCAGGCCTCTCACACTTCACCAGAAAAATATTCTGCAGAAAAAAAAGATTAATATTTGCCAAAAATGAAGGAATAAATTGTTGTTTGCCAACTTTCTCTTCATTGTTAAATTACCTAAAAAAACTACATGTTAAAATTCTGAGTGTATTAATATTTTAGACATAACTCAATTTAGCTAACCATAAATATAAAACTAGTCTTAAACTACACAGAAGATGCAGAAAATACTACAAAAACTTATTAAAACAGGACAAATAGTACCACAAAATTTACTTAGCGCTGATCTGAAATCCCAGATACGTGGATAAACACATAACTGAGTTCTCCTTTGCAACACACAAACAATACGCAAGAGTGTATTCGATTCTGTTTACCAACAGTAATAGCTCCAAGCAGTGGTGCAGGCTGATTTATACCCACAAGGTACTATTATTGCACACTGTTATGTGCGAGAGAAGGCAGAGGGAGAAGGATTACACCTCGCCAAAACACAGCCCCAATGCTCCTGTGATTTTATGCTTGCCACCTGTATCTTACAGGCCAACCCAAAGGAAGATGAATCTTGGTGGAATGGATACAGCTCAGGGGCACCAGCCGGGGCACCCCGCATGCTGGACAAGGAAGCAAAGACCCACCGCGAAGCCAGTTTACAGGGATGGCTGCAGCGAGCACTGGCTGGGTGCTCTGGGGGACGTACGGATGGGATTCATGATGCGTGTCCCCGGCACCGAGAGGACTCCCTGCCTGTCATGCACCATGTGCCAGCAAAATGGAAACGGGGCAGCCGGCGTGCGGAGGCACCACCACCCGCCCTCCAGCAGGGGGTCCCCGGGGAGGCTGGGGGATGGCTTGCTCCCCGGGGCGGCCAGACCAGAGGATGTCGGGCTGCAGCCGTCCCGCTCCCCCGTACTCACACTCGGGGCAGCTGCAGCGGGGGCGCCCCCCGCCTCTGGAACACGCCGTCCACGAAGACCCCGTTCTTGCCGAGGCAGCGCAGGTAGAAGTCCCCTCCGCCGCCTCCTCCTCCCGCCCCGCCACCGGTGGCGTCCCCCTGAGGCAGCGGCGGCCCGTCCGCCCCGGCCGGTGGCGGCGGGGGGGCAGCGGTGAAGATCTCCAGGTGGCGCCGGGAGATGAAGCTGGAGTGGCCCATGCTCACGTCCACCGAGCCCTGCGACGAGTTGCGGCCGATGGTCACCGAGCGCTTCTTCATCAGGTACTCGAACTCGCGGCCCTCCAGCCGGGCCACGGCCGCCGCCGCCGCCGCCGCCATCTTAGCGAGCGAGCGAACGGGCCGCCCTCCCTGCGCCCCTCCGCCCGCACCGGCGCCGCAGCCGCCGCCAGACACTGAGCAGGGAAGGGGACGCCGCTCAACCCAACCTGACGCAGTCCGCCGCCCGCTGATGGACAGCCAGGCCTGGCCAATGCATGGCCCGCACGCCCATGCGGCTATGCCGCGCCGACCAATGGCGAGAGGCGCTGGGGCCAGCGTAGCTCAACAGGTTAGCGTGTTAGCCCCAAGAACAAGGCACACACCCGGAGGCCGGGAAAATGCGGAGCGGAGCGTATGGGAGGAGCGGGAGCGGCTCAGCAAGGCGCCTCAACTGCCAGCTCCAGCCACACTGAAAGCAAAGGCGAAGTGCTCTCTAGGGAAGGCAAGGGCCAGCCTTAGCCCAGGCTGCTGCAGGGACAAGGGAGACACAAGTAGGCCAGTCCCGAGCCGCCCAGGGGCGAGACGCAACAGTCCAGCTAACAGCCCCTCGCCCCAGCAAGAAGAGGGCACTGTGCCCGCTGCTCTCCTCCCCCCAAACCTTTCTCCTTAAGGCAACGGGACAAGTGCTTCAGCCCCAGAGTGCCAACTGTCACTGGATGCCCATGAGGCATGGGGTACGCTAGCCTGTGCCTTAAAGGGGACTGCTGTCACCTGCAGGGACGCCCTGCTTTACACACACCAGGACACTTCCAAAGGGATGATGATGTATTTCTCCCAGCCAACAGCCTGGGTTGAACCCCAGTCTGATGCTGGGGAAGCGGGGGGGAGTTGCCCAGTCCCACACAGCCCCAGGGGGTTGACTAAGGCTACACCATCATTAAGCAGCCATCCCCTGTCCTTTAGTACACAACAGCAACCAATCCAGAAGAAATACTATCATCAGTTTTTGAGCCTTTGTTACCCCCTTCCATGGATGCTTTCAGAAACAGGATGTTCTTTTTCACCACCAAGCACCAGTAAAAGGAAATAAAACAACAAGAATAGAAATACCTAAGCTATGTTTACTGTAGGTGCTATTTGAGAAATAATGTGTTGCCTACAGCAACTAGGCTGTAAGGATGGCCAAGTGCTCTATCGGCACAAATGAGTTTATTGTCCCAAGGAAAAAAAATAAGGTTCTCTCTCCATGCAAAAGGTATACAATGTTAGCTAAATTAGTTTAGGTACTGATTTAGTTCATGGGTACAACCCACTGGTGGACACTGAAACCAATTTAAGAGTGTCCACATAAGGTACTTGCACTACTTTCAGTAAGTTTCTAAACTAATGTAGTTAAATCTGTATAAATTTTAGATGTAAACAAGACCCAAATATTCCAATTTTACAGACAGGCACTAAAGCACAGAGGCCAGTGACTTGCTTGACCTTGCAAAGACTGGATGAGCTAAGACTCCTATGCGCCAAGGTAATGATTCAAGCACAAGACCGCTCCCTCCTCCCCCCCACCCCGCCCCCCCAGTCAGACTGCTACCAAAAACTACTTAAATTAAATCAGGCTTTTCAATTTCTGAAGACAATCTATCTTGTATTGTACAATACATACACCACCATGAGCAGAAAGCCTGTCTTTACCATATGATGTGAGGCGATACCAGCTGCACCTCCCATATCTCCCAACAGTTGAGGGCAGGATGGATCAGAGCAGGCCTAACAATATGACTGTCAGAGACATTCTGCAGCAGCTAAGCCTCCTCCTTCAACACACTAGAGATTTTGCTCTGTTGATTCCAGAGGAAGCTAAGTAGGGTGTGAAAGAGACTAACTTTCCCACATGCATCCTCACACTCAGGCCATGGTTTTGCCTGTAGTCTGTCTCATAAAGGAGTTACTTCAATTTTTAAAAAATTGTACAGAGGGCTCTACTGTATCTTTAGGTTTGTCAAAAGGATGCAAGTTTCTCCTACATATGTTACCACCATCTCTTTCCCATCTATTTACAATGCAGATATCAGATGAACCATGACATTTGCTAAGGATTGTTCATGGTTTTAATATATTAGAGGAAGGACCTGAAGTATAACAATATGAAAATATTAAGAAAGGCCCTTGCTAATTGCACTCAATACTTTGCCTTCAAAAGAACAACACCTGTGTACTTAAAGTCTGAATTGGGACTTCAGATAGCACAGCTATACATTTCTTAGTTTCTATAATTAGCAGCGTGATGTTGCACACTGATGATGAAGCCTATTTATATTTATACATAGATATAATCCCCACAAATACTTCAACAGAAAAAGTCCTCAAGAGATTTTTGTTTGGCTGTTAGATAACTCCAGTAGATATTGATGAAATAGTGGCTAACAAGTCATTTTATTTCCAAACCGAATGTCAAGGTGTTTAGAGACATAGGTATGCTTCTCTACAGAACTTAAAATACATTTGGAAATGTATTTTTCATGTCCTAACCAAAACACAATTCACTTATTAAAAGGCATAGCAGATATCTAGTCCAAAATTTGAAGACTTGAACTAAAGTTTTTTTTAAGTTTAAATTAACAGGTATTTAACTGTAAAAGTGGATACTAAGAATATATATTAACTAACTTGCTTAAAAAAACCCACATTGCATTCTATGTGCAAAGTAATATCAAGCCAATGTTCTGTGATCTTAGGATCAAATTCACTGCAGGTGTAAGTAGGTGCTACAGTTTTCAAGCCAATGGAGTTGCCTGCTTACACCAGCAGTGAATGAGTTCATTAGACACTCACATATTTGTTATTCTGTGATGTTCAGAGAGATATGTGCATTACCAGTTCAAAAAAAAAAAAAAAAAAAAAGTCAGACATACAGTAATATATTGCAGTGGGCAAGGGTTAAGCTCTTTTGATTAATCTTGCACATATTTTGGGATTTAGGGACAGACTTTCTCCTACGTGAAGATATGCTAAGTACAGACAGAGCGGGGGCTTCAAGGACGCAGTTATGATTCCTGATTCTCAACCTGCCCCACCACTGGCTCGGATGTAAATTAGAGCAGCCTAGGGGATGCTCTAGTTTACAATAGCTGGCTATGGTCCTTAAGGTAATACCAGCTGAGAGTTGCCATAAAGGAGCTCTTCCTCCGCCTCACCACACTACCTACACTAAGGGATGGAGGGAAGAGGAAGGTTGGAATAGGAGCCAGGTAAATTCCCAACTGGCCAGCTGCAGCCAGTTCACTTTGCATTGCTCTTATACCTGCACTTTTCATCTATTCATGCTAGTTTAATAGTGGATAGCATTCACAAATTAAAACTGTTGAGAACAAACATTAAAAAGCAGTTAGTATTCACATGGTGGAAAACATGAAATATACAAATTGAATTCAGTTTTTTTCCTTTGCATAAAGACTGTACAGAAAAATTATCTAAATATCAACAACTAAATTAGACTATAGATTACTAAATGCAATCATAAATTATCTTTTGAAATGTCCTGTAACCAGTATGCTACTCTGCAAAAGATTATACACAACATTCAGGAGTAAGTCATTGTAATGATGTATTGGTAACAGCTATTTTAATGAGGCGACAGGAGAAATTTTTCTGCCAGTGCTTTCCTCACTGAGGAAAAAATTCATCCCCCTTCTCTGTAGGGAAAGAGGGACCCATGACAACAGGACTCCCATTTGTGGTTCTACATTCTGTTCCACAAATGGGACAGAGAGGCTGGACACAGTGGAGCCATACCCTCTGCACAGAGTTCAGCAGTTCTGTGCTTGGCCTCTGTATAGATGGGGCCAAAAGATTCATCACTGCATATATCCTCTTGTCTGGAGGTGGGGGGCTACATAAGGGACCACAAATTATTCCACAGCTGCTTCACAGCCTTTGGGGGGGGGGGGGGAAAAGAGATTCATCTGCCCCATGCCCATCCTGACTATTTAGGCCAGGATCTGGGCTGTAGATATGTAGAATCTAATCTTTTGAGGGGACTGAGCATGTGTGACTCCCACTGAAGGCAACTGGAGTTGTGGGTGCATAGCACCTCACTGGCTTGGGCCTGATTTGCTAAACAGCTGAATGTAGTCTAATTCACTCTGACATATTATAGCAGCACCTGTTAGCATCACTGTAATTAAGGGTCTGTCAGCAATTCTGTTAAAGAGCCCTATTTTCAGTGTTTATCACTCAACCTTAAAATGAACTGATACTTGGTATATAAGGTCTCATCCAAGAAGACACACACTATCCATTTTTTAATTAAAATAATTCTGATTTTTTTTGTCAGGATCTTGTTTTATACTCAACACACAATGGGTATGATTAACAATATATTTTCATAGACAGTTGGTATTATCTATAATACTCCAAGCCCAGGGCCGGCTCTAGGCACCAGCAAAACAAGCTGGTGCTTGGGGAGGCACATTTTTAGGGGCGGCATGGCCAGCGCCAGAATGCCGCCCCTAAAAATGTGCCCCGGCCGCCCTAGCTCACCTCCGCTGCTGCTGTTCGCACGCCACGGCGCGCAAAACAGCTGATTCGCACGCCACTGCTCGCCCTCCCTCCCAGGCTCTCAAACCTGGGAGGGAGGGGGAGATCCCGAGCAGCCGCCGCGCACGAAACAGCTGATTCGCACGCCGCTGCTCCCCCTCCCTCCCAGGTTTGAGAGCCTGGGAGGGAGGGGGAGATCCCGAGCGGCCGCAGCGCGCGAAACAGCTGATTCGCGTGCCGCTGCTCACCCTCCCTCCCAGGTTTGAGAGCCTGGGAGGGAGGGAGGGGGAGACTCTGAGTGGCCGCGGCGCGCGCGCTGCTTCTCCTCCTCCCTCCTAGGCTTGAGAGCCTGCGGGGAGGAGGCAGGGCTGGGGATTTGGGGAAGGGGCGGGGCCGGGGTAAGAAAAAAAACAGGGGGGGGGGGCGCGGCCAAAATTGTTTCTGCTTGGGGCGGCAAAAATCCTAGAGCCGGCCCTGTCCAAGCCTGTATTACTCAGACAGAGAAAAATAATTTAAAGAAAAGTTAGAGGATTTCTCTCATGCATTCTTACTGCATGCACGTGCCCTATTTATGGATAACGTATCATTTTCTAGAAATACATATTTCCACTGACATGACAAAATGGATTATAGAGCAGCCCAATTGATCTGTGCATTAAGAGTCCCTAAAAGTA